CAGGCAGACGGGTCGCCCTGAGTAGGGACACCCTGAGGCAGAGGTGGCTTGTCCCGGAGTCGGGGGCCAAGCTGAGGGCGGTCCCTTGGGTGCCGTCGAGGCTGCTGTGGGGATGGGGGTGGCCTCTTCTGCCCCTGGGGCTTCGAAGAGCACCTGAGACCCTTGCATAATGGATTCTCCAGCTGTAAAATCCTTTCAGTCAGTGCCCGCCCCTCTCCCAGCCCTGGGCTGGGCATGGTTTCAGAGTCTGACTCTCACTTTCTGTCCTTCATGTTTCTGGGCACCAAACTCAATGTGAAAGAGAAACTCATCCTCACATTCTTCCCTCGCTCTTGGGCACTTCCACACAGAGATTGTCACGAATAAGGGCTGTGTCCCCACATGCTGGACAGGGTGTCAGGAAAAGGTGAGAAGTCCCGGGAGCCGACTTGGTCTGGGTCCCTCCTTCTCAAGTTGATGTGTTTCTCCCAATGCCCAGCTTTTGGGAGGGCAGAGGGCGAGGAGGAGAAATGACGTGGGGGGGAACCTTCTCCCTATCTAATCACACCCAGGCCTCTGGTTCCACTGCCATTTCAGAGCTTGGGTGTTGGGGTCACACAAAACTGGTTCTTTTCCTGTCTTTGCCGTTTATTTGCCGTGTCTTATCTCTTTCCTTTTAAAAAATTATCAGCTGTATCCTTGGGCAAATGCCGTTTCCTGTCTATAACATGAATAATATTAATGGCCACTGCTTCTACCACTGGCTGTGTGTAATGGGCTGTGTCTGTTGCTCGTATGCTTAGCACACGATTGTGTGGGTCTCATTTTCACATTCATGTCAGATGGGCAGTTGGACAGCCTGTGGTAGCCTGGTTTCCAGGTTCTGGCAATGGGCAAGCTGTTGGCTAGGGGCTGGGACCACTGACTGGGCAGTGGCCTCTGCTCCACATGGCCAGTCCTGCGCAGGCTGGCTCAGGTGTGCTCCTCAGGGGTACCTGGCTCTCAGCACAAGTTCTCTTCCTCCTGTTAGCATCACGTCACTCTTGTGTCATCACAGCCCACACTGAAGGGATGGAGACAGGGGAGGATTCCTGATCATTTTTTGCAGCCCACAACAAGGGCCAAATGCTGTCCAGAAGCTCCCACCTCCCCTGGACTCTTGGGTGCATCCACCCAAGTTTGCAGCTCTGAATCTGGGTCCGGCCAGCAGCAGTCATGCAGGGTGGTGGTGGCCTGCACACAAGCTCGAAAACTTGGAGTTTCCAGCCACTTGGAAGCAGTTCGGGGGGGACAGTGGAGGACTCTTTGAGGGTATCCTGTACCCCAAAGGTCTTCACAGCTGATGGGACCATGTTGTGTGAAAACATGGACATTGAGAATGGGCTGCAAGGTGAGTGGAAGATGGTAGAAATGTCTGCTGGTCTCTGCGCCCTGATCCTGGCACAGACCTCCTGAAATTCTTGTCAGCGAGTGATAAGAATCCAAGGGGCATCTTTTCTCTAATGAGGTGACTCTGGTTGGGCTCCTGGATGACACCTGGACAGGGCTGGTCACCAGGAAGACGGAGCCCAGGTTACAAGCATGGGATTTCCAGTCCTCCTCCCCTACCCTCCAGAGTGATGAAGCCTCCATTAAAAAAATCCCTAAAGTATGGGGTTTGGACATCTTCCAGGCTGGCGAACACACCCACACCAAGAGGGTGACACAGCCCACCTACATGGGGCCAGAAACACCGGCACTCGGGACTACCCAAACATTGAGTCCTAGGTCCTGCTTCATCTGCATGCTTTGTATCCTTCAAAAACTGTAAATGTGTTTCCCTGGGTTCTGTGAGCCACTCTAGCAAGCTAGTCAACCCGAGGATGGGGTGGTGGGAGCCCCCAGTTTTTGCCAAATCTGACAGAAGTTGTGGGTGATCTGGGGACATGCTGATTGCAGTTGGCATCTCAAGTGGGGCAGTCTTGTCTGACTGGCCCTTACCCTGTGGCATCCGACGCAGCCTCTGGGTAAATGGCACTAGAACTGAGTTTAACTATAGGCCACCCCGCTGGTGTCACAGAGGGTTGTTTGGCGGAGGAACCCACCCCATTTTGTGTGGGAAGTGAAAGGAGACTCAGAGGAGGGAAGGGCTGGGTTTGTCCTCCTCAGGAAAACTGGGCTGTGTTTCTAGTTCACCTTCTTCAGAAGAGCCAGAGGCCTTGGGACTTCTCAGCACAGCTCCCACTCCTGTCTTTTCATGTGTGAGTAAAAGTGATAGGTTTTTATTCTGAAAGAGCTCTTCCAATTTGAGACGCCTTGTGTCCTTATTTGATTGGCCTTTTATAATTTAGTCAGCTTGCCCAGCCCCAGGGGTCCTTCACAGCAAAAGCACTTGGTCCCCTTGTTGCTGCTGGCTCCCCACCCCAGGCAGTGCCTAGATCACCCCTGGGGCCTCAGCCCTGTTAACCTTACACCGACCTAGCCTTAAGAAAGAAAAAAACCCTGTATTTTTAATGAAATGGTTACAATGCAGACACCAGAAAAGGCTTGGAAAAGTTTATTATACTCACAAGTCCCAGGGCCACGTGGGGAGCACCAAGGTGGCCAGAAGTCGAGGGGGAGGGGATGGTGGGTTTAGGTGACAGCCTTTATTGGAGTTTCCACATCAGAGGCAAGCAGTGTAACAGCTCAGATTGGCTAGTTTGATTCCTGTAGGCTTTGAGCCATCGAGGGTGGCTCCTAGATTTCTGGCACCTGGCCCCGGGATGACTAAGGTGCAGGAATCTTGCTTCTTGGGTCTGGGGCCAGGTGGAAGAGGGTCTAGCTCTGGATGGTGTGGACAAAAATAATCAACAAACAGTAACAAGAATAGAAAAAGAGGTTTACTTGAGCCAAGCTGAGGACTAGCCCAGACCACTCCCAGATGACTCAGAGGGGCTGCCTGGGAGAAGCGCGGCTTCCAGCACAGTTTTATACCTGGTCAGAACAAAGAAACATGAACAAGTCAGGCATACATTCCTTCAAAGTTTCAAGAAAACAGACGAGCAGGTGCAGGGCGCGCCAGTGTGGCCTGGGCACCTGGGAAGCAGGACCAGCACTGGCGTCCCAGGAAGGAAAGCATTTAATCTTTATTCTCAACACGGGCATCCTTTACTTGTGGTCAATATGCCCTTTTCTCAATTAAAGCAGATGTACAATGTGTGTTTGGGCCACAGACAGTCTGTTTCAGTCGGCATCTACATCTCAATATGCGAAAAGTTCTTTTTTCCGTGGGTTGGTCTGCACGCTGTGGGCCCTTTGCTGTCTCCCAGAATCGGCTTGTCCTGGGAGGGGCGGTCTCTCTCCACCCAGAGAGGCTTTTTAAGATGTCAAAACAGCACAACACAGAGAAAATAAACTATATAAATGTTCAACACAAGATCAAATTCACACAGCGGAACACGCGCAGCCACAGGCCGGGTGCCCGCAGTTCCGCAAACCAGCGGCGAGCCTTTCGGCCCCAGCCCCGAGGG